TCTGGGCTGCTCTCCCTTCTTGAGTGAGCATGGAGCCCCAGCATGCTGGATTCTCAATAAATCCCCTTTTGCTGATTGCATGAGCCAGTTTCTTGGTGGTCTCTTCCTCCGACGTTCGCCGGACCCTTACATGAAGAGAAACTAACTCTTCTAATGCTCTGTAGCACAAAACTCTGAGTGGAGTTCATCTGAATATCCATTTGACAATCTGAACCCACCCCAACTTGCTTCTTGTTCAAAATGTGGCCCTGTCTACAACATCTTATGTAGTCCACTAGTGAAAACAAAGCGAAGAAGTAAGAAAGGGAAGGAATTAGAATTCATCAAATACCTATCATCCAAACACATTATTTCTTTTACTCCTGTGCACATAAAGAAAAAGGTTCACTGAAGTAACGCAACTTGCTGAAGATAATACAGTTAATAAGTGACAGAACTGGATTTGAATCAAGTCTGACAGTCYAATAACCCAATAAATAAATGGGCAAAGTAACTAAACAACACTCCTCAAAAGAAGAACTATGAAAGGTCAAGAAATATATGAAAAAATGTTCAATATCTTTTATCAATTAGAGAAATGCAAATTAAAACTACACTGAGATTTCATCTCACTCCAGTCAGAATGGCAATTATCAGGAATACAAGCAATGATAAATGTTGGTGAGGAGGTGGGGAAAAGGGTGTACTCATACACTGTTCATGGGACTGCAAATTAGGGCAGTCTGGAAAGCAGTAAGGAGATTCCTCAAAACATGAGAAACGGAACCACCAGTTGACCCAGTTATCCTACTCTGCAATATATATATCCAAAGGAGTTAAAATCAGCAAACTGCAGTGATGCAACTATATCAATCTTTGTAGCAGCACAATCCATAATAGCTAAGCTATGAACCTAACCTAGATGCACATCAACAGATGAATGGACAAAGAAATTGTGGTATATATACACAATGGAATATTACTCAGCCAAAAAATATGACTTTATGACATTCGCCAGTAACTGAATGGATCCGGAGACTCTCATGCTAAGTGAAATAAGCCAGTTCCAAACAGCAAAGATCAAAACTTCTCTCCGATATGTGGATAGTAGCCCACAACAAGGGATGAAAGGAAGAATAGAAATTCAATGGATTAGACAAAGGGGAGTAGAGGGAAGGAAGGGGAGGTTAGGAATAGGAAAGAGAGTGGAATGAATGTGACATAACTTTCCTATTGAGGTTCTATCTGTAATATGTAAGGTCCTTCCTTACAAATATGAATACACCACAGTGTATCTCAACATCCTGTATATCCAAAGACTGGTATCTTAATTATAATAAGATATATTCCATGCTTATATAAATATATCAAAATAGGGCTGTGGTTGTAGCTCAGTTGGAGTATTTGCCTTGCAGTGTGAGGCACTGAATTCGATCCTTGGCACCAAATAAAAACAAACAAATAAAATAAAGGCATTGTGTCTGTCTATAACTGTAAAAAAAAAAAAAAAAGGAAAAAGAATATATCAAAATAGATTCTACTGTCATGTATAGCTAAAAAGAACAAATAAAAATAAATATCAAAACCTCAATTATTTCTAGTAAAGCATGGCTTTCAAATATTTTCATTATGACCTATAATAAGAAGTGAAGTTTATTTCACAATCCAGTATACAGATATAAAAATTGCACAAAAATTTCATGAAAAAAATACCCTTGATGTGCAAGTACACTGTCACTTCTTATTTTACTGTCTCAATTAAAAACTCATGGTCATAACCAATGAAACTATTCTCACAACACACTAATGGATCACCATTATCTGATGTCTTTTTTTYTTTTTTTTTTTTTTTTTGGTAAATCACTGCAGTAAATCAGTGTTTCTCAGTTAAGATGGTTCTCAATCTAGGGAATAATATATTTCTGTAGTTATTATGAAGTCTAGTCAACCTTGGCACTTGTATCTCTGTTTTTGTCAGCAAAATGAAAGAATAACTGCATTTCAGATGTTTGTCAGAGGTAATCAAATGCTGTTTTGAAACATCTGATACATGAGACAACTAATGTGTAAACAGCATGTTATGATGGTTCTATACCTTTATCTAAACTTCATGAAAATTCTAGGAGTTGGTTAGTATTATGATTACCACTTTCCAGAAACAGCCACAGAAAGCTTAGTTGGTTTGTACCAGATTGCACACTATGTGAACAGTGAGGCAGTACTCAGATTCAGGTGATCTGGCTTCAGAAAGCATACTTTCCATAGCTCTGCTGATGGATAGTTATTCACCAAGGCATTCTACACATAGGCCACATTGCTTTCTCAAAGAAATGACTTCAACAGAATTGACTTAACATTTGATTTTTTGTTAAGACCTGGCCACATAAAGAATTAGTTCCATATCATAAATAAAACTTCTTTTAAACTCATTGTTAATTATATTGTCACTAATCCCTATGTAAGGGAAAATCTAGTCTCTCTAGATCTAATGCATATTTTATTGAATTACTTCATTAGAAAATAAAAGCTTTATAACATCTTGGTTCTATTTTTGTCACAGTTCACCACTGTCTAGAGTTCAATGCATTTATCATTCACAGCTAACTCATCACCACTACACTTTATATAAACCTACCTATATTAACATTCTAATTCTTCCCATTTGGCAATGTTATGCTAGAACCTAGACAACTAGAGGTGAGACGATGGGTAAGTCTTATAGTTTTATCAAACTCAATTTATAATGAGGCAGACATATACTCAAAAAATAACTTCATTATTAATGATATGTATAAGCTCTAGAAAAGAAAATATTGCATGCTTTAATAGGCATGCAATACTGAAGGACCTAGTCTAGCAGTGAGGTCAGAACATCCTTAAGGTAATAATATTTATGCTGAGCTATAAAGGAGGAGACAGAACCCATCCTGCTAGAATGATTTCTAGGCAAATAGAAGAAAATGTGTAAGTGGGGTGTTAAGGATGGCTAGTTTATAAAATTTGGTAACTTGCCAACAGAAACTGATAGAACACATTTTGTTAGCATTTGCCTAAGACACTTGCTAGGAATAAGAGGAAAATGTGAGAGTGATGGCTAGCTGGCTTAATGAAGGGTAATCCTGCTTTAGCTAAGAAGGAGTAGTTGCAATTTCAACATCAGAATCTGGAAAACTATTTCAAGGAAAAAGGTGATGTAGTAAAAGAAAAGAAGAAACAATTTAATTTACTGTATTTCTTATCCCAGGTGAAAAAAAGAACTTGAGAAAGTGGAGAAGATATTACAAGAGGGTGAACCCATTAATCTAATATGTACAAATGCCTACAAAACATTTTCAAAAAATTTCACTTCTAATCCCATAAAAGGAAAAGGATTGCTGCCATCTGAAGAAACCTAGAATTTGTAAATATACAGAAATGAGACTGGAACAGGTAGAGCAGAGAGGGAAAAATCTTTGCTGTCAATCAATATTTGTTAAAATGAATGAATAAGAATTCAGAAGACAATAAACACTGTTAGTTTTTCTGATGCATCACAAATATAGATTTTTTATGGTTTGCCTCCTCCTTCCTCTTCTTTTTATTTATTTTTTATTACCATGCTTTTCATATTTTGTTTGTCGTAAGATACATGTGACAAATAAAAATAAACTGGTGGCAGAAAGTATCCTAATAAAAAGTGGTTTCTCAACTATTTATAGAGTTTATTGTATATCAGGCAATATATGATATGTTTTACATACATAGGTATCTCATTTAATTCATCACAACCACCTTTTGACCAACGAACCTATTATACATGTATGATAGAAATGAGGACACTGAAGCCAAAGAAGACAAATAATTCTATACCAAATGTTACATAATAGGGAGGCCAAAGGCAATTAAATAGGTGCTAAGTCTTTTAGAGTCCATTCAATCTATTGTCTGAACATAGAATATATGTTGGATCTCAGRGGATAGCTAGAGAGGATGAACGAAAACATAATCCCAATCTTCCCTGTGTATGTGTGTGTGTATGTTTAGCCTAGGTTCTTTTCTCAAAAGAGAAGAGAACAAAGTTGAATTAGAGTAGGGGAAAAGATTAAAAAGGGAATGTGACAATTCTAATACCAGTTTTTATAAACGGATAAACCAAAAATACACCAGATACACCAGCAGTTCTAAACGTTAATGGCACTAGGATGTCCTGCAGTAGAACTCTAGTTAAAAGGGATTGCTGCCCCTGCCTCCAAGCTCCAATTTCTGTTCAGTAGGTTGGGGAGAGGTGTGAACTCTGAAAATGCGCATTTCTAACAATTTCTCAGCTAATGCTCTTGGTCCAGGGACCATAATTTGAGAACCCCTATAGTATAATAAATAAATTTACTCTTATACAGATATAGTAAATAAAACCACACTAGAACATAAATGAAAGTATTCCTCTGGGAGTTAAAAGATATAGAATTCTATAGATTTTAGAAGATTTTTTCCTTTATATTTTTAAATATAATATTTGATACAGATTTCTGTGTATTTAAATTGTAAAAATCACCTATTTCTCATATCAAATTCATATAGTGAGTGTCAACAAATATAACTGATAAACTTCCTTTAATATTAAACTCTTTATTTTCATAATTGTCAAATATTCTTATTAGATTTAATTTCTGAAGACTATACAACTTTCATAATTAACACAATACAGCTAGGTTAAATTTTGAGTATTTTTTACACATTGCTTATTTCACAATTTTTACTGGCAAATAAACAATACTATTCCAAAGAATAATGTAAGAGAATATATGACATTGGACAAGAAAAGTAATTCAAATTTTCTAAGATACATGGTAAGACTACTAAAAATAGAACACAAGAATATTACCCTAAAGTCATTAATTTTAATTCTTTTATTAAATAAAGAAGGTATAAAAATCTAAGACTGGGCTAGACCCTTCCAAAAAAGCTTTTGAAAATAATGACAAAATAGACTTTTATGGTATTTAAGTGATACAATGAATATTAGTAATGAAGTAAAATCTTACCCAGATCTCGTCGTTTTGAACTCCACCTTGAGGATAGGTTTGCATGGTTCTGGTTTCTTCCCGTCCTTTAACTGTTTTCCTAAAATATATTTTCCTACATTTAATTCTAAAATTCTACGTTACTCTAAATTCTTGCATTGACAATTTATGAAATGAAAGTGAAATGTAATGAAATTCACCATGAAACATTTCAAAATGATTTTGAAAGATATATTTAATATAAAATAYGATACTTTTAAATGATCAGGCAAAATTCAGTTTGAAATTCACTGCTGAAAATAAGTAAAATAACATTTATGTAATAAAATTCTACTATGAAAAAATGATAGTCTTCTCAATGTTCTTCATTATAGATAAGCAAAAGAGAACTTCAGTTTGCTAAATAAATACAAAATTTAAAAAAAAATGAATCTATATTACATTTTTATCCAGGTGTAACAGGCTATAAGATTAAATCCTATTTTAACAAGTTCATTTATATTCATCCTCCTAAGTAAAATCCATTCATTATAATGTATAAAAGCTACTAAAACACACAAATCTCTATAAAATGTCAATAACTAATTTTGTAAAATAATTTTGATTTTGATTTTTGACATTTGCAAAATGTTTGAGATTTCAGTTATCTATTTCTAGATATTCACTGTAGAAACCACAAAAAAACTCAAAAATAAATAAATAAAACAAAAATCTACTTTATCTCTTTTTTTAGTAATAATTACTCTCAACACTATTATACTTTTGGCAAATCACGGGAATTGCCTTGGGAATCTCTGACACATACTCCTACCTTAACACTTCTTATTTGCTTTCATACTTTTATTTTTTCCTCTATAAAACTTATTCTAAAATACTTTATATTTCACTGCTTTATTTTTATTTATTTTTGTTGTTGTAGTTTGTCTAACAAACCAGAATGTAAATTCTGGGTAAGCAAAAATTTTTAGTGTATATTTTCCCTGTTGTGTCTCTAGTGGCACAAACCCTTTGATATATAATGGGTACTCAATAAACACTCAATGAGGAAATAAATTAATGATTATTTCCTTGGGATAAATTCCTAGAAAAAGGATATCTGGGTAAAACTGTATTCCAGAAATGTGCCTGTTTATACTTCCATCAACAATCTAAGAGAATATTTTGCCAAGGTCCAAGATACCAGAAAGATATAACAATTATGAACAAATTAGCACCAAAAATAATGGCATCAAAATATATGAAATTTAAATGCCTAAAATATAAGAAGGAAAATAGACATAATAATAACAGTTGGAAACCTTAATATCTTACTTACAATAGTGTATAGACAACCAAACAGGAGGTGAACAAAGAAACAAAATTTGAACAACTTAAAACAACTTAGAGCCAACAAACATTTATAGAACATTTCATCTAACAGAAACAGAATATAATTTTCCCATGTACATGCAAAACATTTTCAGGACGAACTGCGTATTAGACCATAAAATAAATCTCAATCAAATTTAAAAGATAAACATACACAAAATAAGTTCTTCAACCAAAACAGAATGAAATTAGAAATCATTAGCAGGAAAAATAATAGMGATTCTAAAAAATATGTGAAAAGTAAACAACATATTGCTAAATAAACAATGGGCTAAAGACAAACATCAAAAGAAAAATCGTGCTAGGTGCTATAACATATGTTAGTAATCCTGGAAACTTGAGAGGCTGAGTCAGGAGGACTCTAAATTTAAGGACAGCCTCTGCAAGTTAGGGCCTGCCTCAAAATAAAAAGGGTTGGAAAGGGGCTAGGGTTGTGGCTCAGCAGTAGAGCGCTCACCTAGTATGTGCAAGGCACTGGGTTCGATTCTCAGCACCACATAAAAATAAATACAATAAAAGTACTATACAACTAAAAAAAATGATCTGGAAAGTAGTTCAGTGGTAAAGAACCCTGGGCCAATCCAATACCACAAAAAGAAAAACAAACAAATAAACAACAAAAAAAAAAAACAGGAAGAAGAAAAGATAAATCAAGAACTACTTTGAAATAAAATAAAATAAAATAAAATAAACCCTTAGCTACACTGACCAAAAAAAGAGGCAGAAAACTCAAAATCATAGGACCAGATAAAGAACTGTAAAGAAATCTATGAACAACTGCATGTCAACAAATGAGATGCCTTAGAGGAGATGAATAAATGCGTAGAAACACAAAATTATTAAAATTGACTCAAAAAGAAATAGACAATATGAATAAACCTACAACAAGTGAAGAGACTGAAAAACTAAAATAGTTTTGAGTTTTAACAGATCTACAAGGAAATGCATAAATTTAAGTATATAATGAGTTTTGACATAACTATGTACCTGCAAGCACTACTTATTGAGACTTCATTGTTTTCCCATTGATAGGAAATGTTAGCTGTACTATATGGCTTTTATAAATATGTCTATAATCTGTTGGTAAAACATATAATCTTGTCTTAATTTAAGATCCTAGGATCATCACTTTCCTTCCTTCTGAAGAAATGATGTTTCAGTGGACCCTGAATGTCCAAGAGGAAGCTCAATTTTCAGAACCAAGAAGTGATTAGTGGTAGATTAGATGTAAGGACTGGAAAGGAATGTAGAAGGAAAACTTGACTATTGAGGTAGGAGAAAAAAATAAGAAAAAAGAAAGGTATAAATAAAATTCTAAAAAAAAATTACAAAGCTCTAATGGAAGTGTCAGACTGGTATAATTTGGACTCATAAGCCAGGCACTATGAGTGGCACATGTCTATAATTCCAAAGATTCAGTAAGTGGAGACAGAAGGATCAAAAGTTCAAGGTCACCCCAGCAACTTATAGTAAGGCCCTAAGCAAAGATGCCATCTCTAAATAAAAATTAAAAAGAGCTAAGGATGTAGCTCAGTGTTAAAGTATCCCTAGGTTAAATTCCTAGTACCTAAATAATAATAATAAATTAATAATAATTGTCATTATTTATTACCACTTATTATTATTTKGTATCACAGACCCAATTTTACATTTGTTTTCAAAATTATTATGTTATAGAAAATTTTGTTTTTATTCAGAAATAAGTCATTAACTTATTTCAATATTCAGTGATTTAGTAGCTAGAACAATTTTTAAGAAGGTCATTAAAGGGTATTTTTATTGAACTCTTGCAAGACAGTATTTGCATATCTTGCATACAACCTGGCAAGGTATAAAATTATTTTTTCTTGCTCAGTCTTCATGTTGATCCTTTGTGTTCTAGCATTTAGACTTGTAATACAGTTGAAAGCTAGTTTTATTGTTGTTCCTTTAAAGTTAAACTTTTTTCTCCAGTTAAAAATTCTAGTAATTTCATTATCTCCATAAATTAAAAAAAAAAATTTGGCTGTTTTTCTAGTTATCATTCTTTGCTAATATTGCTTGGAAACCAGTGAGTATTTTAGATTGGCATATTCTGATACTTTTCCAACTAAGATGTTTTAAAAAACATGTTACTGATTACTGCTCCTGGTCCAGAAAGATTAGATTATTCATCTGTATTCTCACACTAACTATTTTGTAAACCAAGTAATAAGGCATTAGATATGATTTTATAAGTCATAGATAAATAGAAGAATATTTAGAAAATTACCAGATTTCATTCACCAGGTGTCATTTTACTTAAGTGCTGTAGACCAGCGGAGCAACAAGGTGTTTCTTCTACCTGAGAACTGCCTTAACAAGTCCCTGAAAAGATCTGACTAATTATAAAATCTAACTTAATAAATCACATAAACCTTTATGCCATCCACATACAATTTCTTTTCGTTTTATAAATGTCCTTTTCCTATGCCCACTTACCAACCACAATGGATATTCTGCCACATGAACTGGTCTGAGCTCTACTAATTCCAGAATTTCAGTCATGAATTTCCATTTCTTCCCATTTCCTCTGTCACAACTGAAATCTTCAGTATTAACTGTTTATTAATGTAAGCATTTAGTTATTGTGCAACCTCTTCTGCCTTCAGGTCACCTGATGCACTACTATTTAAAGTGATATTTTCCAAGATACTAATTGTGTATTCCTCACTGTAAACTCATTTACTAGTCTTCCATCATGAAGTTCAAACATTGTAGCATACTTTGATGTATAATCTTGCCTATATACAGTTTTTTTCATTTCCTGCTTTTACCTCAAACAAATTTTAAACCCTAACACTTTTCCAAAAACACTGCTTATGATTACATCTTTGTGACTTTGTATTTTTTTTCACTAAAACAACCTTGTCCTATTGTTTTCTATCGAACCCCTTTCCTTAAGACCCCACTCCTATGTCCTGAATTTGTGAACTATTTCTATACCCTTCACCCAAAACAACACCACTATTTCTTTGTTTTCACATCTTATTGTTATAGTTATAGTTATAGATCATTTTCATTCACTTGACTATGAACTCTTTAAGGGCAATCTACTCCCAGCATTTAATCTCTAGTGCATAGGAGATACTCAGTAAAATGTTTCTAAATAAATATAAAGATTGGTTTAAAAAAAAGAATGAAGGGCTGGGGATGTGGCTCAAGCGGTAGCGCGCTCGCCTGGCATGCGTGCGGCCCGGGTTCGATCCTCAGCACCACATACCAACAAAGACGTTGTGTCCGCCAAGAACTAAAAAATCAATATTAAAAAAAATAAATAAAAAATAAAAATAAAATTCACTTAAAAAAAAAAAGAATGAAGATCAATGACAAAAACAATTACTAAGTTTTTCATATTGCCAATTAGAACACAGGACATTTTCTAACTGACACAGTTGTTATATTGTAGTTTTGCTTTTTCAGTGTAGAGCAGCTGTCCAAAATGGTTGCCACCAGTCATATTTTGTTGTTGGGCACTTGAAATACGGCTAGTCCAAGTCAAAATGTGCTGTGACTGTAGAATGTATTCTATATTTCAAAGGCCTAATACAAAAAACACTGTGAAATATCTCAATTTTGTATGCTGGATTTCATGACAAAATAATACTTTTGCATATGGGGGGTTAAATAAAAGTTAAAATAAATAATATCAATTTTAACTTTCATTTTACTGTTTTTAATATGATTACTAATAAATTAAAATTAATCTATGCA